ACCATTGATGAGGTTCAGCATCGAGCCTCTCCCACAACACAAACCGGATGAGCAGAGGAATCCTCTCCAACTTGTCGCGTACGGACTTCATGTTCTCGACACTTTTCGTCGATCATTCCGATCCCCCTCGTCGGCTTTCTCCGATTATCTTGTTGTGGAACCTTCCCTCTTCACAAACGTATTAAAAAGCATCGGCTTTACCAATGGTCAGCACGGAACATCCATCATATCGAATATCTTCCTCGCATTTGATCTTCTCCCCTGCCGCATTCAGCTGAAATCATACTGCATCTTGAACAGCGCCCTGGATCGCGGAGAGAAGCTTACCTTGGTCACCAAGGCCATATCTGCTCACGCACCAGAGACCGCAGTATCCGCCATGTCGGCATACTTTCGATCCAAGCCACCAGACTGGCACACAATATTCTCTCCTGATCCGTGTATTATAGGAGTTGACTGCACATGCACTCACGATGCTAGGATAAAGATCTATATCCGTTTTCAGGTTACCGATTTTGATAATATTGTGGATCAACTCTCCCTAGGTGGCAGAATCCCAGTATCATCAGCATGCATCGACACTGTACACGACCTTTGGAGTCGGTTTGGTGGCCATCCATTTCTTTGCTCCTCTCACACATCAGGAGTGCTCTTCTACTATGATTTTACCACAATAAAGTCTCTGCCCAGTGTCAAGGTCTATATTCCAGTCCGCTTAATGGCTAGAAATGACCAGGTGATTGTGGACGCCACTGCGGAGTGGATGAGCAATCACGCACATTTCTCAAACTACCGACAAAATTTCTTGAGAACAGTATCCGACACATGGTATGCGCATTCCTTTCATGATAGAATAATATCCCTGATGATTTGTTAGGAACGACAGAGAACTTAGCCATACGATAGGCACATTTACCTAGTGTGTAGAGTACATATGGAGCCGTGGATGAATTCTCACTGTTTCACAGTGTCTCCCTGAATGCAGCGGCTGGTGCTGCTGGCTGCCATCCAACCATCTATTTTAATCCCATGGTATACTCTCGCTCATTTCCATCAGAGGAATTGGTGGATTCATCGTGCGTGTCAGAATTCTAGACACTACAGCACCGAGAGTCCGAGACTTATATTTCCCTTTCCAGACCTTCCTAGTTGCAAGCAACTAGAGTGCATACTTTGTTGAGTTAAAAACCTATGCCAAACTCCTGCTGCAGCCACCGACTGACTCCCGCTGCTCCTTTTTAATATTGCTGTTGCCACACCTTTCATTATCCGTTAGACAAATGTTTTCTCGTATGTTTGCTTCCTTGTTTTAGAACATCCGCAAATGATTTATTTATCATACTATACAGTTTCATCACTGCTTCGCTACAATGTATATATCTAGCTTGTTTTGTGCTCTCAAATGGAGCCGGGGCGTATACCAATATGAAACAAGTTTGAATGTTGGTACAAGTCCGTATCGGAAACGAGCAAAAGAAAAATGGGAAGAAAGAGACCGGTTGTGACGGGACCCAGACGGGAAGGTACAGGTACTCAAACCTCGGCTGGTGAATAATACTAAAAAATGAACAGAATCGGGTTTGAAACGATGGGTTCTATTACATCCGGGAGGTTCATCGATCTTGATTTTGCCCTTATTCTTCTGGGACGGCGAACCAGGTCTGGTAAATAATTTAGGGCAAGCGACGCACAATTTGCGTCCCAATCGAAAGGTTCGTCTTCTCCAATGCAGCTTTCCGTTTTTTCACGCTTAATATTCACGCCATTGGATCTGTCAAGTACATCATTGTCAATATTGAATGCAAAGGTCTGCCGGGCACGCTTTGCCGGCAGGCCATTTACAAGCTAATTCAGTCTTCAGGTTCTCGGGCATATGCCGTGGGCATGAAGGGTGATTAGTCGAGTTAAGACTTGTTTTCACGAGTCTAATCTCCCGGCGCCACATTTCTGCCCAGCTGGGCGTGCTTGCGTGGCTTGTGACATATCATGGTGAATGAGTTATCCGTGTCAATCTCCATCCATGCACTGTTGACCTAACTTCCTCCTCCCCCGGATCATCTGGGAACATGGGCTGGAAAGACGCAGTAATGAGTTATGCCAATGTCCAAACAGCGGAAGTGGATCTCGGCAGAGTGCCGCAGGTCGCAAAAAAAAAAAGTTTAGACTCAATGACGCACCGGAAATTTGTCTTGCACAATCTCTTCGCAAAGCCACATTCTTTCTCGTGCTTTCGCGAAGAACTCGAGGTCACGATGAGCGAGATGCGGGCGGTGGTGGGTGTAAAATACTAGTACTGTGGGTGCCGGACGTTGCTCAGATTCGGATGGGGCATGAGTCATTAAAGTATTTTCGCATGTAGTGAGCAGGGCGTCATGCTGGCGTCCAATGAGTATGGGCTTTGAACCATGAAATGAGGGATGATGGAACGCACTTGGGAATGATTGAAGACCAAGTCTGAAAGTAAGATCAGATCAAAACCATTTGCTGTAGGCGCGATAGGCGATGCTGGTAATGAGTCTATCAGAGGTTGGCTAGGACGCCCCCATATGTATCCCTTTGTAGAAAATTCGATTGACGGTCGCGTCAGTGTAGGTGAATACAAATTTCTCACTATTACACTCAAACGATCTGCTGCGGTCACTGGAATATTCTTCTTGACGTTGTATTCGAGGTTCTCAATCAACTCTCTATCGGGATAATCTGTTAGTACTACCTGCGTTACAAATCAAAATCGGTCCAAAATCATGAATGTGATTGAACGACGATGAGCCAACCTTCCTCGCTCCATTTTTCGCAGCAACAAGACCCGGGAGTCCACCTCCCGCTCCTAGTTCAAGGACACTTTGATCACGATACAGCTGTGGATTCGCGTCCAAGTACCTCGCAAATGACCGAGCAGCATTCCATCTACACCAAAGTAATCATGGTCATTATGAAATTGAAGGTAAATCACGAAGTAAACATACAAATAATGTCCCCATAGCGAATGCGTACCAACAAGTCTGATATCTACATGATCCCAATTGTTTGACTCCGGATCATTCAACGGTGCATTTTTACAAGGCTCCTGATGATGCAGATCACGATTGTAAACAACGATCGTAGGTGCGGGTGACGGCGGCCTGGCAGGCTCCTGCAAGCAAATCGAACTATATGGTCAGTGATTTTACATGATAACCTGGAGTGATGAAGCTGACAGTAAAGAGTGAGTTGAGCAAGAGATCAGACTCGTCTTCAGAGGTTGACATATGAAAGGAACAGGGATCATGATCGGCAGAGTCCGGGACTCGGTACTCAGTCTCGAGTCAGTCTTCTCTTCACTGCCATCAGATCACACTGTGATTCCGGCACTCACAGGCGAACGCATATCAGTTTAAATAATCCCGGTTCCATCCAGACTACCCGACCACGATGACCACCCCACTCACTAGTCTGCCGCTTGAGCCCATATTTTATGTCATTGAAATTGTAGACGACCAATCGACGCTAGCTGCCCTCTCGCTCGTATGTCATGACTTCTATGGCTCGTGCACTCCCCGCCTATGGCATCATCTCAATGCCCGCGGTTTCGAAAACATTGCGACCATGATTCTGGCACTCAGGTCCAACCCTCAACTGGCCCGTCATGTCCAGACCGTTGCTTTCATGTACGACGAAACCATTATGAATCACATGGACGAGGAAGTGGAATGTGCTGGCTCATTAAAAGGAAAGGTTCTGGAGGTCTGGAAAGGACAGGGAGGAGGCACTGCGTGGCCTATCATAGCCGAGATGTTACCGCAAAAGCTGCTTCGCGAGCTTGACGCCAATGGCTTGCCTCCCGCTGAGCGATCCTACGCAATATCATTCGATTTGGACCAGATTTGGTATACATCATTCGAGAATGGTCTTGTTGCCTCTCCTACAGGCACTCTGCGATGCCTTTGCTTTACAGGAAGGGCACATCTTTCACTGGGATTTGGCGTAGTCAAACCCTTCGCCCTTCACCTCTACGGTCAGCCCGGTGATTGGACCCTGCATGAAGGCCCTGGTGATGAGCCTACGTTCATTAGGTTTGCGGGGATTAAGTGCATTTGTCTTTCTATCTGTGCATGGGACGACTCCGACGATCACAGTTGCAACATCTTCGAGCGTTGCAGCGAGTATGATATGTTCCACGGCGGTGGCTTGGAGAAGGTAGTGATCAGGATGACGCAGAAAGTCATTGCGAAGGTGTGCAGGTCCTTTGAGCAATTCGACTGGCCAAAAGCGAGAGACGTCGTAGAGTTTCGCCTATGGGACTTCGCGGACTTGTTACCCATTGATATCGTCATGCAGGAGTTCACTGACGGAACATGGTACGATTGGCTCAACCGGCCGGAGATACTTGGTCAGAAAATTTCATTCGAGAATCTGACCAAGGGATTACATCCGACCAACGCATAAACAGCAATTATATGCCTCCTCCAGTTGCTGCCTATCGCTTACATCATCCACATGCTCCCGTTTCAGTCCTCTGCCCGTGCATACGGGCCCTCTACATCCCCAGCCACGATTTTCTAATGGCTACGTGCTTGACGTACCTTGGAATCTTATTGAACACAGCGGATCGACGTCCATTCCGTTCATTCCCACTAATATATATCATATCATCACTTTGTGGATCACTATCGTGCCGCTCATCGTACTGGTTTTTGCAGTATGTACAAGCGGATTTAGCCCATCGTCCTTGGCTTCTGTCTGTCAAATCACCCCTCACGTCCCATGGACTGCAATGCGTTATTTATTATTTATCCCGGCTTGATATAATTAAGCAATTGTTGCACATGGCACTCGACTACTCAATTTGGATTTTTATCCCGATGCGGTTACCTCAATCAAATCATCTCCTCCCCGTTACCCTTAACGTGCCAATCTTGTCCATTTCAACTTTCTGGTGGATTGCAAACGAAGGAAATTTTCGGCAGAGCTACAAACATCTTAGAAAAAATATTACAAACGAATTTCAATAATGGATTATGGCCTTTGTAGCTTAGTGGTAGAGCGTCGCACTTGTATCACTTTATCCGTGATGCGGAGGTCACTCGTTCAAACCGGGTCGGAGGCAGTTGTTTTTGGTCCGTCAAGTTTATGTTCTGCAGTTTGCATGATTTAAAGATGCATCAACTCAAATCTTGCTTAGCTTTTTTTATCAAAAAAAAAGTCTGCAATGAGCTGCTTTTGATTCAACTCATGTCTTATGTTAGGCCTTACTTGCAAGTTTTCAAAATTAGTAAGCGAGAAAACTCATCTCCAAGAGGTTGGAGGTTCAAATCTTGATGGGGCCATATCATGGCCATCAGCCAATCTTGAAAACAATTGGCCAGCAGATGTCCCAAAATGTTATGTCCAAGTGGCTGTGAACATCAGACCTGGTGTTAGGAATATTGGTCCTGTTATACATATTTATTTAGGAATAGTTTAAGCTCAAGCAAGGCCACAAAAGTCATCTGAAAGTGCAGCTTTGCTGAGTTTGAATTCACCTTCCTAATCTGGAATCACTTTGTTCAGAACATGTTGGGAACACTCCACTCAGCCACCCCAACTTCTAACCTAAAGCCGAGGCCCTTAGGTGAAAATACATTATGAGTTGGAGTGACTCACAGGAATTTACCTGAATGATTGGACTCGGAAAGCTTTATGAGTCACTGAAGGCCTTGCTGATGACTCTGATCATCTGATGAAACCCTCACATTCCCCATTCTTCTGTAGCATTATGTATAAATACAAGGTATTGCCTCCATTGAATACAATTATATTTTTATTGCTTTAATGCCCTCTGACCACACAGTGTGAATATCTTATAAAATCTGTAAGATAACATTTGAGCATCTAAAATATCAACTCACTCTATTTCAGATTGCAATCCCTATAATTCTCACAAGATAGACTTGCTCTCTCAAGAACTTAGAAATTATTACATTACATAGGGTCACCAAGTGCTTAGAGAATTATTTGTGAATTTACCCTTAAGAAACTCTTGAGTATCTAGAATATCAACTTGTTCTATTTTAAATTGTTGATCCCTATAATTCATGCCAGAAGACTCGCTCTCTTGAGAGCTTGGTAATCATAGCATTACATAGGGTCACCCAGTACTTAAGGATTTATTTCCAGATAATTATCAGAATTTACACTTAAGGTTCTAGCTTATTCTCATAAATTGTTAAAGTATTTTCTTACACCAATTTAGTTTATAGATCTATTAGAATACTTGTACATATAAATATTCTATAGATCTATAACACTTGGCCATCAGATTCAAGAATTTCTGATACTGATGCCTCTATTTTTACTCTGCAGCATTGGAGCAACAACTTCAATGATAGAACTCAATGATAATGAGGAGAAGTCCCAGTTGCAGCAAGTATGGAATGACTTGCCTGGGCTTAGTGTTGTCTCAACCGGCTTGGGGCCTTTTTGTAATTTGAAAATAACATGACACCATATACTCCAATTGCTTAGTGTTGAGATATGACACATCGACTTTTAAGGTCCTGAATCTATGTAAATATTTTCAGAATTTTATAAAATATATTTGAATTAATATTGTCATCAGCTCATTTTTTACTGGTTGACTTGAAAAAATGAGCTGATGGCAATATAAATTCAAATATATTTCATAAAATTCTGAAAATATTTACATAGATTAAGGACCTCAAAAGTCAATGGGTTATATCTCAACACTAAGCAATTGGAGCATATGGTGTCACATTATTTCCAAATTACAAAAAGGCCCCAAGCTGGTTAAGACAACACTACCTGGGCATTTTCAAAATGAGTTCACAAAAATACCTAAATGGGGAGATTGCATACTGGCTAAAATGGAAAGCAATACCATTGTTGATGGCAGCACTGGTATAATACTTTGATTTTTTTCCCCCAGTATTGACAGGATTTTTCCACAATTTTACCTTTATTGTATTTTAGTTATAGGATTTTATTTAGGGAAATAGTGGCACCAAGTTAATGGTAACATGAGTATAGCAGTAGCCTAAAATGCACTAGTGAGATCAATCTGAACTTAGGAGGAAGAGGATATTAGAGCCAGTTCCAAGGGAAGCTGAATATTAAGAAGCATGTGTCTATAGTCACATGGTGCATCAAATCAGAACTTTAAAGTGAGCAAAAGACACACATCACTTCTTACAATTTAACCACCATCACTCCCCCACATTTCACCACACATTATCCTAGTTGCCTCTCCTATCTCAAATGATTGGAATGAATATTTTCAACTTGTACCTCTTGCCAGCCCCCCCCCAGTGATTCCACAAATGATGCAGAAGATTCTTAGACTCTGCTCTTTGAGCACCCTCAGATTCCACTTCCCCTTGAACCCACTTATACTGACCTCACCCCATCACATTTAGGGCCTGTGCCTACAACAGTACTTGTAATGGGGCATTTCCCCCTTTTACTGTTTAGTTACTCTTCAGCTAGTTACTCTTCAGCCTTCAGCCACCAATATTTACACTTGTTTTATCTGTCTACTCAGTTAGGTAAGGTAGGCCACATGCACTGCAAGCCAAAAAAGTCAGCCAGTCACAAGCTTGACCAGTTAGGTCAAAATTTTGACAAGTTCATGCTGTGAACTTCTTCTATGGTCCCCCATTCCCAATGAGATATCTGTATCATTCAGAATGCATCTATATGCTTAGTAAGCATGGCCCAAGAGTCTAAGGCATTGTTTGTTTACTTCTGCTTGCTGTCATTGCCAATGACGATGGCAATGAAAATTCAACCTTTACAATCTGTTAAATCACTACAAATTTTTCTGAGGCAACAGACTTACTTCAAACATGTCTTATGATTGATATAAAGTGATGTGTTATGAATAGACTATCACCCACCTTCACAGTCTGCAAATTCAGACAATCCTTGGGAGTTGTCAGCTTGCATGGCAACAAGAAAATTGTAGTTTTGCTGATGTATGATCTAGTGTAGCTGGATGTTGATGTCAGAAAGGTTGCAGAACTTAGCACACCCCAGAGAGTCATAAGTAATGGCTGTTGGGGTTGCTCCTCTTTATCCTCTGAACTGCAGGTGTCATTGAACAGATGATCTGATGAGACAGAACTGTCCACTATTTAGTGTCTTAGGCCGGCGCTGCCAGCATCTATTTCTCTGTCACATTCCACACATCAGGAAAATCAGAAAAATACTTAAACTGACCTAATTTTGACTTAGCGTGCTTATTGGTCAAATAAGCCCACTAAGCACAAGTAAGCATAAAATAAGAGAATGACTTGGCGTATTCGTACTTAAATTATGTTTAACACTACTTATATTGGCTTGAAAATAAAAATTGCACAAATTAAGTACCAATTAAGTCAGTTAAGTTACAAATTAAGTTGTCCAAGCCGTCGCTAAGCCAACTTGTTTTCTTATTTTTGCTTATTTGTGCTTAGCAAACTTATTTAGTCAATAAGCACACCAAGTCCAAATTAAGCCAGTTTTTCTGATTTTCCTGATGCGCCAAATGGAGTTGTCATTACGTAGAAGAGATAGTAAAGCTTACGGAGTGTCTGAAACACGAGTTAAGAGCGTATAAACACTGTTTTGAGGCAAGCCGCTGGCAGGAGTGATTTTTCAATTTTTAAATATTTTTTCCGTGTGGCCACTTCTCAATTTGGACATCATTTTCGGTTAAGTCATAGTATCTGTGTCTAGATACTCTATATTGCAAAGTTTGGTCCTGGCTACATCCGGTTACACAAAAACACCCAGCCACTGCAAGTCATTTCATTACCTGAATGATGTTCTCAGGTTGATCGGTATTAATGACACTACGAGCGCAATCGCCGTGAGTCCAGGCACCAGGAAGTACATTGCTGTACAACCGCGCCGAGGTTCTCGATCGGTTCTGTTCTCTCCCTGGACCACATGAGTCCTACTAACCTTCGCCTGCATAGTAAGTCGTATGTTTGTGTCTTCCGACAGTTTCTTACTCTTCTCTAGTCGCAGAGGCAAATAATTTGCCACATAAATCGTCGTCCAAACCTCCAAATGCCTTCGTTGAGATTCAGGTCAATGGGTCACGTCAACGTACGAAGACAGTCTCTAAGAGCATCAATCCGTCATGGAATGAAGACTTCCAACTGTAAGTTCTTTAGATATTGTATAACACCGAATGGTATAACCATCATCCCAACAGGCCTGGCCTAGAATTGGATTCAGTGCTTAGTCTGCGAGTACAGCACGAATCCCGATGGTCAAAGTCTCTGTTGTGTGGAGTGGATATCCCAATCGGTAAACTGCTGGAAAACTACGACCTTGCTCAAGGTATCTAATTGTTTGTCAGACGTCTATACATTGTGTTTAACTATTGCACGGCTGCAGAAATCAAGCTGCGTTTGTCGGATTTTAAATCCGACGTCGACCTGCCTCAGGGTCAGCCACAAATCATTTTCTGCATCACTAGTCAAAAACACGTGCCAGCTGGTGCGGATGCTATCGCAGATGCTCGTCGGACACTTCAAGCTAGAGGCCTCTCGGACGCAACCAGGGAAACTTTAGATGAGTCCACTGGTACGTTAACGAGACGAGGTGCACGTCAAACACTGGCGATTATCATATCCAAACTTGACGCTTTTGTCAAGATAGTCGATGAAACAGCCAAGGTACGTATACTGGATGATATATACGACACGAATCCTTATGCCTCACAGATTCATCCTTACTCTTATCTCGTATGGCAAGTAACGTCTTCGGTTTACAAGGTGTGCTGTACATGTTACTCGCGCATCTCTCCATACTAAGACTGTCTAGATCGTCAAAGGACAACTCGACCGGGATTCAGCTATCATTAATTTGCTGAACACCATGGAGCAGACCTTTGCATTCGTCGACGTCATCAAGGTCTTACCGGAAAAGATAGCTCTGCTCGATGACACTATCAAAGACATTCTTAAGCAGACTTTTGAGTGTGCTCTGTACATCCGGGAATACGCCCAACATGGTTTTCGTGGTGCGTTTATATCGACTTTCGGAATCTTAGTGGCATGTTGATCTTCAACTACAGGGAGAATCCGCCACCAGTTGCTATCCGACTCTGACGATATCATT